TACCTACAGGCAAAGATAGATGAATTTCTGAATGGATGTGAAGTTTGTGCGCAAAATAACATCAGGAAAGGTACAGCAACCCCATTAGGTACCATCCCTGTTCCAGAAGGACCATTTAAGCACTTGGTAATGGATTATGTAGACATGATCAAATCGGTAAGAGGAAAAAGGTACATGTTGGTAATTATAGACAGGTTCAGTAGGTGGGTGGAAGCAGAACCATCAGCAGATCAAGGGGCACAGACAGTGATCAAGTTTCTGACCAGGGAAGTAATACCAAGATTTGGGATACCCTCACAAATTAGCTCAGACAATGGATCAGCTTTTATTCAAAGAACAGTCAAAGCAGTAATACAACAGTTAAGGATGAAGCAGAGGCTCGGCTGCGTGTACCATCCTCAATCTCAGGGTCTCGTAGAACGCGTTAACGGGACTATTAAGGCAAAAATTAACAAAATCTGTGCAGATACCAAGCTTAACTGGGTAGATGCTTTGCCCCTAGCTCTCATGAGTTACCGTATGCAGACAAACAGAATCACAAGCTTGTCCCCACATGAAATGTTGACAGGGAGACCAATGCCAGTACCGTACTTGAGAGGTCCATACGAAGGACCGCCCTTAGAACAGCTACAGATGGAACTAAGGGCGTACATGAAACAACTAACTGCTATACATGAAGCTATTCATTCACAGGAACAGAACAGGGGGCCCAGAGAAGAGGAAGAAGAAACACCATGTCCAGTAGTTCCTGGAGACCAGGTGTATCTGAGAGTCTTTAGGAGAAGGTGGAATGAACCAAGACGAGAAGGTCCATATACTGTAGTCAGGGCAACCCCCACAGCCGTGCAGGTAGAGGGCAGTACCACATGGTATCATTTGAATCATTGTACCAGAGTCCCAAGACGGAGACATAGAAGACAGGAGGAGGACACAGATAGAGTAGGAGAACAGTTAGAAGAAGTAGCACAGGATGCCCAAACGAGCCAAGAAACTGAAGCAGAAGATGATAACAATGCTGCTGAACCTCATTCTAGGGAAACTGAGCATACTGGGCCAGGAGATGAAATGCAGGGGCACTCAGATCTACAACATCCAGAGAACACGGAGCCTGAGGATGAGAGAGCTCCTGATCCTGATCCTGGCAATGATACAACTCTTGCAGCAGCTCCCTCAGGCTCAAGGTCTTCAGGACACCAATCCCCTGGAGAAGGTCCCTCCCATGGAGGACCATACCCCCCAGAAGAATTTGTCACTCTTGACCTCCAAGATATTGATCTCCCAGACATTAACTTCTCAGAACTTGACCTACCTGACATCCCAGAGTGGGATGGGTCACCTTAATCTGACTGAGCCAACAGAAGGTAACAACACACGCAAACACATAAAGAGATCCACAAAGAAGGCCAAACAATCACCAGAGAAAGCTGCATTGAGCAAAGCACGAGCTATGCAGGAAGTTAAAGCCCTAGAGGAAGATTATTTTGAGTTAGAGATAAAAAAGGAAGCGTTACTAGATGTAGCATATCACAATGAGTGGTACAAATGGGCTCAGTACACAGTAAAACAGACAACTGAACGATCCTGCCTGTTATGTTCACCGTCACCTTTGAAAAAATTGAGATTGGTTCCAAACAAATATGACTACATGCACTGTGCTAAATTTCATTCAAAACAATGCGATAAGATGGGACGAATAATGCCTTACTGCCCTGCAGATTGTTTGGCTATGCTAGGGAATGACTATTACAAGAGTTTTTTCAATCAGAGCGGGTGGGGAAGCGAGTGTCAAAAATTAGATGTGAGGGTAGCTGAGAATAAAAGAGAAATTCCAGAAAATTACATTTTGGATAGGTCACTTGAGTATGAGTGCTTCAAAGTAACCAAAGGATATAACAATGTAGGAACCTTTAAGGGAAAATGCGCCATAATTTGGCATCTAGATTTTGAAACTTACAATGACCCCAATGTGATTAAGACTACTAGTTCAATCTATGCCACGGCTACCATAAACAACAATATGACTGTAACTCAAATCCAGGACGATTGTGAAGGCGCTACCTTAAGTTTCCCCTTGATAGGACCATTAATGAACCAAACAGAAGCAATTGCGGACTATTATTGGTTGTGTGGAGGGAGGCAGTTAAGAGCAACCTTGGTAGACTGGAAAGGCCTATGTGTAAGAGTCAGACTAGCCCAGGAAACTGGAATAGTGAGTTGGGATCCTGATGAGCAAGAGACTATAGGACTGACAAAGAGTCATAATTACAGAGTGAAGAGAGCATACACAACGGATCCTGCCGTTTATCTTGATTCCATTGGACAACCGCGAGGAATACCACATGAGTTCAAAGCTAGAAGTGAGGTGCTGTCAGGTTTGGAATCGATATTTGTATGGATACCAGTAAATAAGAACACTGAGTGGATAAATTACATATATTACAATCAGCAAAGGTTCATTAATCATACTGATCAGGCACTTGAGGCACTAGGCCAACAATTAAAGTACACGAGCAAAATGACTTGGCAGAACAGACAGGCATTGAATTGGCTTTTAGCGGAGAAAGGAGGAGTTTGTGTAATGTTTGGATCTGACTGTTGTACTTTCATCCCAAATAATACAGCCCCAGATGGATCGTTTACTAAAGCCATGAAGAAGATAAAGGCGTTGAGAAATGAAGTTGCCACAAATGCAGGGAGGGACAGAAGTTTTGGATATTGGCTTGATGCAGTATTTGGATCATGGAGGGAGTGGCTCATTAAGGTGGGAATAATAATAGCAGTAACTCTTGGCGTTGTTTTTGTGCTGTTCTGCTGTATTGTGCCTTTTCTTAGATCCATGCTGGCTAGTGCAGCTGCAAAACAAATGATCAATGTGTCAGTGAGGCCAACAGGCATTGACATTGGGTGCACCACCACGGGGGTATATTCAGCTGGCCCAGGCTTGGACGAGTTGGAAGAATTCCTATAAGGGAGTGGGCAAAGAAACAAGGAATAAGGGTACCTCATTACTTTTGATTTTGAAAATCTTTTTACTCTGTTTTTGATCAGATAGGGAGATAGCACCACTGTGTATTTTGATTTGGGGGATAAAAGTAGTTAGAACAATTAGAACATGGGTAGAGTAGGAAGTTAGTTAGAGGGGTTTTTCTACTTTCCTTTGGTTTATATGAGGGCCCTTATTTCCTGAAGATATTTACTCATATATAACATTCTTACATATGTAATCCTTTGAAAAACAATCATTTGTGTATCTTTTCTTTTAAAATAAGTTGCCGATGTAATGATCTTCTGACTATATGAATGATATAATCTTTTGCATGGTTTTTACCTATATAATCATATATCTATATGTAACCATATTAACTGTTACAATTTTTAAAACATGTGAATGAGAGGGGACGATAGAAGGTTTGAAGCAGGTCATTGCCCGTGGTACGAGGTAATGCAACAAGAACTAATGGAAAAAGATAAGAAAGATTTTATTACTATTAATTATTTTTACTTTTTATTATCTATCCTTTGAATACATTTCTGTAACAAATCTAAGCAGTTTGGAACTTACATGTATAAGGCCATTGGAGCATGTATATAGTTTTAAGTCCAAAAGGGGAATTATTTTGCAAGCGCGGTCATCGACTGTTGAAGAAACAAGAGCTGACTCAACTGGTGGTTTAAAAACCCGCTGTCTGCTCCAACACCAGATAGCGCTCTAGGCAAAGCCTGGGCACCTCTGGCAACGATGGAGCAACCCAGATAGCACTCCAGGCCACCGGAAGCGCCTGCGCAGTTCCTCTGGCACCGATGGACAGAATCAAGAATTCAAAGAAACATGTAATGTATTGATTTGATGCATTGGGTGGTTTTGAAAGGAAATACGTCCCCTTAAAAAATATGATGTAAAGGAAGGTGGGATCTTTTACTCCATCCTAGTCAATTGGGGGCGGAGATGTTTGGTCCTTCTCTTCCTCCAGAGTGCACCTTTGTGAGTAAAGTCTGATTGATAAAGGTGGATGGTCTCTATTGACCATGTTGTAGAATAAAAGGAGGAAGACTGATTCATGAAGATGCATTCTGGGAAACAAGTTGAGTGTGGGACTAGAGGTAGTCCCAAAGGGGGGTTGTGTTGGAGAATTCTGCTGTCCCTATACATGTATCACAAAATGAAAGTAGGCCTGAAAGATGATGTAAGAGAAGACTAGAAAACAGGAAAGCACCTAGACACCCTGTATGTCGCCATGTATGGAAAAACAAGTGTATGTCTACATGTATGGAAAACAAAAACAGGAAACCAACAGTAGAGAAACAATAGCAAAGGTGCAAAGGTCTTTTAAAACTGTGTATGTAATCATTTTTAAAAAATATATGTACCAAAGGTTGGCCACAGTTAGAAACGAGACAGCGAGTCTGGAACAACAATTGTGGCGAAATAGTGGGGAGGAGCAAAGGGGAAAAGATAACAAAACAGGCACTAATTGGACAGGTAAAGATAAGAAAATGTATAAGAACCAAGTACTGACCATTGTAAGATCAGAATGTCCAGCTGGCTTCTCACTTTGTTGAACTGCTCAATAAAGTTATATTCTTCTGAGACCTGAAACCTCGACTCTGAAAGATTTCTTCTGAGAACTCAACCAGACTTTGAAAATTGAGATTGAACCACGAATTGGCCACGACAGTTTCCTGTAGAAGAAAAACATGGCACTTGTAATGCCAAGGTTAGGGGTTTCCAGTGAATGCATAGACTGGGGTTCAGTTTCCAAAACATGCCAAATATCCATGTTAAAGGGATAGCTCACCCAAAAATTCAAATAATGCCATTATTTACTATTCCAAACCAATGACCTTTTCTTATGTGGAACATAAAGGAAGATATTTTGAGAAATCTTTTTTTGTCTATATTGCCCTTTAACATTACAGAGGTTTATCTGGAGATAAAACATTTTGCATTTGTACAATTTATTTTATGATAATTGTTACATCTTCAAATGTGAATTATACAGGGCCATACGCCAAAGGAAAAGTTGACTCCAGTCTTAAACCTGTTGACGGAGAGCAGCAAAGCACACAGGGAAACTAGGCACTATCTCAGACAGCAGGTACAAAACTGCACCTACAAATTCTTTTAAAAAACATTTTCACCATTTCAGTGTTAAGTATTACATTTAGAGAACTTTATAAACATGATACATTAAGGTTGGCACAACATATACTTCTTATCCTCATCCTTATTCTGATCCTGTGCTATTTTTGTGCAGATCCTGCCTCCCCTGAGAGACGTTGAGCTGAGGCCTGAACAGGGGAACACACTGAGAAGCAGACTAGTGCGACTAATGACCCATGTCGACACTGATATCAAACAATGTGCAGCTGAGCTTCTTTTTGTGCTCTGTAAAGAAAATGGTACATAAATGCATCTTCTGAACCATGTAAAGTGCATTGACATATTTACTTGATATATACCATACTGAATATCATATTCATGCATCATGGTATGAACATGCTATTATATGGAGCACTGCGGTGATGACATATTGTAGACTAACACAGAGGTTAGCATCGCCGTGTCTTCCCTGCAGAACCTGATTTCACCAAGTGCAACATGTTCCTGGATCAACATTCCAATCAACCAATCAGATTTGAGCGACAAGTTTACACTTTATATCGAGTTTAGGCTTACAACCAGCATTAGGTTCTTCTACATCAGTGTTATTCACCTATAATCTTCCTTTTAATTAAGGATAACTTGTGGGTAGGGTTTAGGGGTAGGGATATTTTCTGACAGAAATATGTTGACCCAGGAACAAGTCTAACTCGACAAACCAGGACGTGCCTGGTTCCCTCAAGAAAAAGCCATTGGATTTTTTCTTGTTGGTTTTTGGGCCCTGTTTACACCTATTAAGATGTGTTTTGGTCGATCAGATCACAAGTGGACGACGCTAAATACAGGTGTAAACGGGTCTAAAACGGTTTGAGATTATCCACTTTCCACCACTTCCATCCGGTCTCATCCGATTGCTTTCATAGTGTAGACGCTCATGTGGTCGAATGTGTTTGAACAGCCACAAAAGACCACCTACTCTGCCTATTGATATATAATATGTAGGCCTATAATATAATAAACATTATGGGAAGCGCTAGAAAGACAGGATTTAAACTTTGTTGGCTGAAGACCCAAGTTTGGTTTGAAGACGAAAACGTACCAAGCACAATGTTCTCTCACATTTCTGATTTCTAACATGCATTCTCAGCATTTGCCGTGGTCTTGTTTATTTATTTTTTTCTTCAGTGGTGTTCATATCTAAATTGTGTGAGTTTTTTAGTCCATTAGATCAAAAGATCTGAAAAAAAACATACATTTACATAGACCCTCCCCTCGAAGAAATCAAGACTGAAGTGTTTGAAAGTGGTCAAAAGAGACGGATTAAAACACATGTGTAAACAGGAATGTGTCTCCCTCATCCACTTGTGATCTGATCAACAAAAACGCATCTTAATACCAGGTGTAAACCAGGCCTTGGATTATTGAAGAAAATCAGTACTTTGACAAAACAAAAGTTGATTCTTACACTTTTTGTTCATCATGATAATCTTCACAAATCTTCTTTTAAAAAGAAGTGGCGTTAACCACAGGCCTTATTTCAGGCATTTAACTAAAAACCCATTGACTTCGGGACTATGGACCCGGAAGTGATAAAATTAGAAACTCCAATTCCATGTTTTGGCTTACAAAATTATTGGGCAAATTCCAATCAGAAGTGAGCATCCCTATGCCCTACTCACTCCGAAGGGCAGAACATGACCATAAATGATTAAATAAATTACTTCCTTGAAGTGACCATGGCATGTTCCCTTCGCTAACGTCCACATGAAAGGACCCTTCGTGAAGGGATTCAGTTGTTCCTTTTCGTTTGGGACGCTTCAAGGGTGCAAAAACGCCATTTGGAATTCGCCCAACTGCACACCTTTCTGTGACATTTAAACGATATAATATTCATGATCTCTTTCTCTCTCAGTGAGCAGGTTTGTGAAGTACACTGGTTACGGTAATGCAGCGGGGCTGCTGGCAGCGCGGGGTCTTTTGAAAGGCCATGGCCCTTCTCCTCAACAGCAGTACTCCAGTGACTCTGACTCAGACACAGAGGAGTACAGACAGGCCAAGGACAGGATTAACCCTGTGACGGGACGGTTGGAGGAGGAACAGCCTGATCCAATGGAAGGGATGACTGAAGAAGAGATAGAGGCAGAGGCGCTCAATCTCATAAATATATTCAACAGGCTGTCACGGTATGATTCATTCCTTCATATAAAATCATCACTGATTTTCTTTTCAAAACTGTGTAGGCTAGTGGATAGGTAGTTCGATTAAAATATATAGCGCCCTTATAGTGCACAGTTGTTGTTGTTGTTTTTTTTACTCCATCATCATCATCATTATTTTGTGTCCTCTACCACACCCGTACAGGGACAGGATCATTCAGCCAGTGGGAGTGACCACGGACGGCAAACTGGCGCCGCTGTGTGGCCAGACGAGGCACTGCGCTGTGCAGGAGGAGGAAGAGGAGGAGGAAGATGACAGTGAGACAGAACAATAATGGAGCTGATGATTAATGAGAGACAGGTGCAAGATATTTTATACTAATGACTGATATAGGGATAAAATAATGGTGCAACTATAAATTCAATAACTAAGTTATAAATAAGTTATTTGTTCATTTAATATGTTGTTGTAATCAAGGGACGTAAAAGCAAATGATTTTGAGAAAAAAAAAACTGTATAATGTGTAAAGAGAAGAATAAGGGAGAGACAACATTTTTTACATTTTAATGTGCACAAAATAGCGGAGAATATCATTTCTATGTAATAACTCTTGTGAGTCACGATATGCGCTAGAAAGAGTGAAATAGGAAGCTATTAGGCAAAGGAGAAAGAAAGAGACAGAGAGAGAGACAGGCATCACACCAAAGACAGATAAACGCTCCTGGAAAATGCTGCTGGTGTTGCCATGGTTATGTTACCATGGTAACAACAGGAAATGCAGTTCCACAGATTCTTTTTTTCTTGCGCTCGAGCAGGAGTAGAATGTTTACCTTGAAGAGAATGCTCTATGTGCTGAATAAAAAAAAATAATGTCATTATTTAGATCCTCAGAGAAATGTTTTCATTTACAGAATTAGTCAGCACTGAATCTTTCAATCTAATTATTTAGAGCAGGTTGTTTGGCTCTACTACTTAATTTCCAATATATTTCCCCATCTCATTCCTACCAGTGTAAAATGCAAAATACCAGCTCATATGTCAGGAACAAAAATATGAAAATGAATTAAATAAAAAAAATTCCAAAGCAGTCTGGTGTGAAAATGCGTCATTTTCATAAAGTCATTGTTCTTTTCTTTTATTCGCGTTTTTCAAATACAGGAGGATTCATGTACAGATTAGGGACAGGTAGAGAGAGAGACCGAAGCAACTGTACAGTATTTACAGGAGAGAAAAATAAGCAAACCTCCAAAATAACAATAATAATAACAATTATAATTATCATAGTAAACAACCAACAGATAAAAAACAAACAGTAAACACAGACATTTTGCACACTTTATAAACTATTACATCCCTCTGCACCGTCATGTTTTCTTTGAGAAAACGAACAAATACACCATTTTCCTCATTTTCTTTTAAAGAACAAACAGAAAGAACACGTTTTTTTCATATTAAATACATTTTTCTTTTGCTCTATTTTTTTTAACCAAAAAAAAAGAAGAAAAAAAAGGAACTACACATTGCTTTGTCCCCCACTCTTTTGTCCACATCCTGTCCGCCTTGTCCTTCATCTTAGGGGACAGGAAGAATAAGGGGTTATGGGTGGCCCATTTCATGTACACCCTCATAAAACATGAGCATTATTATTCAAAATAATAACAGAAAACTGTCCCAGTTTTGGGAGGTAACCATGTATAAATGTCCATGTATAAATAATACAAATCATAATTGTTCATTTTCAATACATATTTATATATAAGAGTATGCATGGAACATAGCATTCAAAGCTCACCTCTGCCAAAACACTGCTGACCAGTGAGGTTTTCAACCCTGTTCCCTTTGGCACTATCTTTATTAGTCTCTGTGCAGACAACTGTCTTTACACACTCTCGATCTTTTTTTTGTTTTCATAACATCTCCCTGTGGCTCCCGTCGCAGGGAGCTGACACATAATGAAAGAGAGAGGAATGAAAGCTTCTTTACAAAAACATTATGTTAAAATGCAACGGCTTAAACCGCCACTGGCTCTTACGCATCCTGCAAAGGAAAATCTCATTTTCCTGCAACATGGCGGTGCACCAGTTTCATTTGAGTGAGAGGAGTTTCTCCTCTCTCCAAATAGGACGCACTTGGAACGTCAATAGCTGAATCTTAAGCCTTGTTGCTGAGCCTCAGCAGTTCAATGAAGGAATTGAACAGAGTCTCTAGCCAGCCCTGGTTGGCCATGCACTGCTGAACCACCTCCTCCTGACCTGGATCCTCCTCAGCTGCCTGTTCTATACTGTCCGTCTGAAGAGGGAGAACGAGAGAAGAGGGTTCTTACGAGCTAATACACGGATACAGCGATGCATTTCTCAAATAAGCTCATATTTCCTCATACCTCCTTTTTACAGTGCAGAAAGGTGTGATATTTGTAGTGATGGAGAGAGTGATAGAGACTGTATATTCGACAAGTCTCTGTCGGCAGTTTCAGGTCCTGACAAGGAGATAGAGATGGGGTTACAAGCAAAGAAAGAGAACTCTGAGACTTCATGAAAGATCCATTATTGAAATGCAATGACTCCAAAAAGGTTTTTGACATTTAAAGGATCAGTTCACCAAAGAATGAACTTTATTCAATCATTAAAAAAAAAAATCTTAAAAGGCAAGCTTGTAGGCCTACTGTTTTGTAGTAGAGGTGCAAATCGGACTTTATCATAAGATCTGACATTGATTCTATTAGCCAGCGATAAGATATCTGCCGTTATTTCAAACCATGTTGCAAGTAACTGTGATCAATACATTTAAATTATTTTACCAACCAGTTACATTTTTATGAACTGTATGCAAAATACAATAATACTTGATGACCGCTTGCCATTTATAATAGTCAAGTTTTAAAGGGGGGGTGAAATGCTATTTCATGCATAGTGAGTTTTTTCCACTGTTAAAGAGTTGGATTCCCATGCTAAACATGGACAAAGTTTCAAAAATTAAGTTGAACGTTTGATTGAGTATTTCTGTTCTCAAAATACTCCTTCCTGGTTGTCACAAGTTTCGGAAAGTTTTTTTTCGAGTATGGGCGCGTATGACGTCAGATGCGCCGGAATTTCCTTATACGGTCCTAAGGGCACTTCTCTCGGAAGGGCGCGCGCGCAGCTGTAGAGCGATAGCCGTAACCTATGCCCATCAAAGCGCTGTGCATCGGCTGCGCTCGAATATGTCACCAAAGAAGTGTGTTTTCGGTTGCCAAGGCAAGACAACACTGCACAGATTCCCAAAGAATCAAGCGTTAAGGGACCAGTGGATGGAGTTTGTTTTTCCAGAACATCAACACAGTTGTGCAACTGTTCTTGTTTGTTCCATGCATTTCGAGGATGATTTTTTTTATAAACAAGGCCCAGTTCGAAGCCGGATTTGCTAATCGTTTAGTTCTCAAGGATGGAGCAGTCCCAACACTAAAGGTTAACGGTCTTGCATTGGAACCGCAGGCGGTGAGTAGAACTGCTTCAAATATCTGTGTCTATCGGCGTGTAACTAAAGCACAGCATGTAGGCTAAACAACATGATCACGAATAGTTAATGTATCTATGAAGCATGCGATGTATGTTGTGTGTTTGTTTAAATACATTTGTTTAGGTGGCTACTGTAGGTGTCTGTTTGTTTATTGTAAAACCAAATCATGTCTTCATAAACCACGAGTAGACACACAAATGGTCTAAAACTTCGCGCGCTCGTGATTATTTAGCTCCGCCCACACGGCACGTCTCCACCCGCTCGGCTTTCCCCGGAAAGACTCGGTACAGCCTATCTTTCTTTTATAAATATAATAAAACTAAAGACTTTTTGGAGATATGATGGATGCAATATTACTCTATAGGTACTCAAGATTAACATGAGATTGACTGAAACTGAGTGTCCCTCCCCCCTCCCCCTTTAAAGTATATTTGATAGATTTATAAAAAAAAATGTATATATTTTTTTCGCATTGCATCAATATATCATATTGTTAGTCATTTGACCGATGCCTCAATCAATATCATCAGTACACCCCTATAATGCAACCATATATTTATATATATTTTTAAATGGCTGAAGTGCCTAAATACTTCTTGGGGTCACTTACTGAACTGCTTTATTATGTAAGTGAGAAACAATCAAATTACAACTTGCCTGCTGTTTAGGAAGGCTCCTTTTGACTCGGTTTAGGGTTTTGCGGTTGTAACTCTCACCACCCAGGTGCACTTTAACCGCTCCAGAGTCCAGGGAGTCTGCTGTCATTTGAGGGAACATGTGCAGGGTCTCCTACATGAGAAAGGATGGGGAGTGAGAGACTGCCAGACATGTTCCTCAGAAAACACATATCAAGAGGTCTTGAGTACTCAGAGCGGAATAACATTTGAGTTTCACTGAAAGCCAGTGTCACCTGATGTTGGACACTCATGTTGACCCTCCTCAACAGCCTTCGTTTCTGTTCGTTGAGGATACTGTCAATCTTCCTCATGGGTGGGAGATAAAGCTCATCTAAGGACAAAAGGGATTATTACACACATATAAATGCATCTTAGTACCTATTACTTATTATCAAGTTTTTCACTAGTTAATTTGAAATAGCCTAGTCCTCCGGTGTGACAAATCATTTTTAAGTATTAGCCTACAAATATTCCATTTTCATTCAAAAGGGTTACGATTTTTCAAATAATTTTGAAATAAGTCTCTTATGCTCACCAAGGCTTCCTTGTTATCAACATTGAAAACATTTGTGCTGCTTAATATTTTTGTGGAAACTGATACATTTTTTTCAGGATTCTTTGATGGATGTAAAGAAAGTTCAAAATAACAGAATGAAATGGAAATATGTTCTAACATTAGAGATTTTTTAGTGCCACCTTTGATTAATTTATCGCATCCTTACTGAATAAAAGTAATTTCTTTCAAAAGACAAGCAGCAATAATATACATTTAAACACTTATTTAATGAAACTTAATTGAACAGCCTCTTTTCTCAGCATCTTTTCCTTGTCATTATTCTTCAAGTAGTGAGGGACGTTCATGTCCTCTCTCTCAACCTCCCTTACTTTATTAACCTCCTTTTTCATCATTCTTTCTATCCCTCTTTCCCTTAAATCACCCAACCCAATCCTCCACACAGGCACTTTATATTTAACCAAATGATGCGTGCTCACCGTTGGTGTCCTCCAGAGCTTGGATCATGTCAGGGTCCAGAGCAGTGCTGACCAGCATCTCTACATAACTGCGGAACATTTCTCTCATGGCGCGACTGTTTATCCCACTGCGTGTGGATACTGAGGATGGAACAGATGCAAAACAAGTCAAAAAACAAAAAGACCATCACCTGAAAATACTCACACACACTTTAGCAACATAGGTTTGGCTCCACATAACAGGAAATCCACATGACAGGAAATTTTTCTGGGCCTTGAAAGTTGCAATGTTCAAAAAAGCGCTCGGATTTCATAAAAAATATCTTAATTTGTGTTCCGAAGATGAACGAAGGTCTTACGGGTTTGGGACGACATGATGGCGAGTAATTAACGACAGAAATTCAATTTTTGGGTGAACTAACCCTTTAAGCAGCTTTTGAGTTCTGGGAGCCAGGACAAACCTTACATGAAAGTACTGTGCTGGTGGTACTTTGATATATAACAATATTCACATTCAGTATCATGGTTTTAACATGGTACTTCGAAGAATGCCAAAGTACTACCATGTTATACACTACCATTCAAAAGTTTGCAGATTTTTATTTTTAAAGAAATTAATACTGTTGACAAATAACTAGCTAAAATCAGTAGAGTACAGCGCTATCAACAGCAAGGTCATGGTCAGGCAAGA